TGAGCTTAATCTCACTATCTGTCTGAATATCAAACATTTAGACATAACATGGAGCAGGTATTTTCTATGAAGAATTGGTATGTTAAACTTTAAGTCCCTACAGAATATGAAGAATAAAAAAATTAAAAAATATTTTTAAAGATAGGAATAAATAATTACATATGTTTACACAGAAATTTAGAAATCTAACCATATATGAGCATTGTAGCAGGACAGTCCTATGACTTTTTTTATTCTTGTCTCTTGTTTTCATTTATTACCCTTTCATTTTAAACATTTACTTGAGAGACAATATAGCAGTAATTGGTATGACATGACAAACAGTACGTATTTAGAAGACCAGAGTGACAGGTATTCCAAGCATGACACATTGCTCTCTTCAGTGTAGTTGCTTAGTTCACAGGTATCAGCATATATAGTTAGTGAGGGTGAGAATCCTACCAAGGAACTGCTAGTTTCAAAAACCTGCTGAAGATTCTCAGGATCATTGCCTTAACCATCTTGTGAAGAATAGTTTTTATTTTTTTGGCAGAACCAGGGATTGACCTTGCTCTTGCCAGGCAAGCTCTTATTCTACTGAGCCATCTCCCTGGCCCTGAGGCTCAGACTCATAGTAATCTTCCTGTGTCAGCCTCCTCAGTGCTGAGATTACAGGTGTGTTCCATCATGCCTACATGGAGCTGGCATGACATGCGGTGCAGGAGATTGAACCCCAGTCCTTAAGCTTGCCAGGCAGGCAGTTGGACTGCCAAGCTATCTCCTCGGCCCCCTCTCACATTTTTATATGCAGTTTGTATGTCTTTGGTAAAATGTCTGCTCAAATATTTTACATGAGTAAAATTTGAGTTTGAAAAATTCTTTATATATTCTAGGTACAAAGTCCTTAGATAAATGTACTTGGCAAAAAAAAAAAAAAAAAAAAGCAAGCCTCCTTTTGTGTGGGAATCTTTGGCAGAGCAAACATTTTCATTTTGATGAAGTTCAAACTATGAGTTTAATCTTTCCTATTTTTGGTTTTGTATCTACACTCTGCCCAACCTGAGATCACAAAGGTCCCTCATTTCTTGTCAAATTGTATAATCAAATGATATAGTTAGGTCTGTGGTTTGAGTTAATTCATGTATGGTGTGAGGGTACAGGTGGAGGTTCATTTTGTTGCTTGTAAGTTTTGCCATTGAAAAAACTGCCTTTTTTACTTTAGTCTAGAATCAATTGATTGTATTTGTGCGATGTTTCTGGACTCTGTCCTGGTCTGCTCCATCAGGGGTCAGCAGCAACCATTTTCTGTAAAGGACCACATAGCAAGTATTTTAGATTTTGCAGGCAAAGTAAAAGTTATTATTTAGGTACTTGTATAACAAGAAAGAACAAATTCTTGGTGAAATTAAAAATATAATGAAGTACAATTTTTTTGTAGAGGAAAGAAAGTGGAATTCCATTTTTGGGAGATGGATAGCATTTTATTAATTAAGTTCAAAATTAGTGTTTCCTTCCATCAGAATGGATTATAGCCAAAAAGAACAAGACAAAAAGGCAGTTTTACCACCCCAACATATATAGAAATTCACTTATTTTATTCTATAAATTTTATGCTATTTCTTTTTTTAATTTTGTAGCTCTTAAAATTTTGTGTATAATATAAAGTAAGACTCTGACCTATTTTTTTTTTTCAAATATGAATCCCACAACACTTGAACACAATGGAATACATCCAGGAATGGTGACACATGCCTATAATCCTAGCACATGGGAAGGTGAGGCAAGAGGATTACCCGAAAGTTGAGGCCAGCCTGGGCTACATAATAAATTTAAGGCCAGGCTGAACTGCATAGTGAAAGCCTGTCTCAGAAAACAAAACAAAAAGGATTACAAGTGTTCATCTATTAGTGTGTATCTTTAATAGAATCATACATATTTTAGCTTTGAAAAATGTCTTTTCACATAGGTGATACACATACCTGTGCATGCCAGAAACTTCTGCAAATCAATCTCTCTTCTAACGCCTTAACTCTCCATTGTAGCACAAAAGCAGCAATAGACAATATGTAAACAAGAAAGACTATTGCAATTTCATACCGTTTTTACTTATCACAAGATATTCTTCTTTTGATTTGTTTTAACGATTTATTTATCAAAATATAATTTTGTGTCCTCAGCTTCAGATACAAAAGCCAGGGCCAGCTGGATTTAGCCTTGGAGATGTCATTTGCTTACCCCCACTCCTTACCCCTCTCTCACCTCCATCCATGTTTCTGTCCTTTCATCAAAACCACACTGTCAGGATTACTGTAGCTTTATATGAAGTCCTCAGATCAGAGAGCATCAGTTTACTACTTGTTCTTTTTAAAAATTGTTTCTTTACCTCTTGATACACAAAGGCCAGCTCTGATTTTGATTGGAATTACGGTGAACCTAGAAAGCATTGGGGGAAATTGCTATCTTGATATCAGAAGAACTTGGTAAATCTCTCCACTTATTTAGGTTTTCTTTGATTCTTTTATCGGTGTTTTGTAGTTTTGCCATATCAATCTCAGATCTTGCACATATTTTGTTATATTTATACTTATTTCATTTTTTTCTGGCTAGAGAAGTCTTCTTTAAAATGCAGATTGTATGCTGTTGTTTCCCTATTCAAAACCCTTACATGGCTGCCCATTGCTCTGACATCTATAATTTCTGAAAGCTTGAAGGCCCTATGGAATCTGGCCCCTTTCCTTTTTCAGATGAATTTTATTCCATTCTTCCCCTCACTCACAGTGTTCAAGTCTCACATGAGGAAGAAATAGTTTACCTACCAAAGGGATAAGTGTTAGACTACCTTAAAGAGTAGACAAATGTTCTCAAACACAATCGAGGAGTATGTTTTAATTTTACTGAGTCACTGGCCTATGTCTTTTGTCCTAAAACTGTAAGTCTTCCACTAAAGCAAAATACTTTAAAACTATTGGTTATGAGGGACTTCACTTTATGTATATTAGCTAAAGAAAATATTTTTGCTCCTTAGAAACATGCTGAAACTTGGCCAAAAAAAAAAAAAAAAAAAAAACTTTTTTTTTTTTTTTTTTTTTGGCGGAACCGGGGAGAGGGCTCAATGGAATAAGCGCTTCCCTGGCAAGCGCAAGGGCCTGAGACCGTTTTCTAAATCTAAAAAAAAAAAAAAAAAACTTGGATTTCTGTCACTGTCATTATACATGGATGAAGTTAAACTTTCCAGCTATTAAAGTAGTTTTTACAAGCCTACAGCCAGTTTATTACAATATGCAAAGCAGAAACATAGGACTGTACTGGTGTTCTATGGAAAGGACTGCAGTTATGAGTTTAGGATTAGAGAGAGGGAGAGAAAAAGAGAACACTACAAGGTTTATTGTTTTAAATAAGCCTTAAAACAAGTACATTTAATAAACCAATGTTTATCATTATACTAGACACACGGAGATGAGTAAGACATAGCCCAGGCCCTAAAGGAACCCCAAAACTAGTGATAAAACAGACAATTATAGCTGAAGTGCTTGTTCTTGGAGCCATGGCTATGGGGCTTCAGTAAGCCAAGGAGAAATGAGCAACCCTCCAGGGTTTAGAACATAGTAAGACTGCTTGATTTTCAAGCTGTGAGACAAGAAGGGGAAGCAAAGACCATCTCATAAAAGGCTTAAAGGCTTTCATCCCATTCTTTAACTCAGACATTTACCTCACTCATTGTCTTTAGAATCACCTCAGGAACTTGTTAGAAATTCAGATTCTTGGATTCCTGTCCCCATCCTCGCAATCCTCCCTCCCCGCCCAGATTAACTAGGTAGGGCTATGATGGTTCCCCAGAAGGTTCTTAGCTAGCTAGCAGTTCTAATTGGGCACACTGACATTTAGGAGCCAATGCATTCAGTAAAATTTAACCACAAAGTAATTAAGCTTGTTAACAAGATGATCATACTAGTATTTTTAGAAAGATAAATTAGTATTGGAGAATCATGGAGTCACCTGAGATTAGAAATCAAATTCTGATTTAGTAGTCTGGGGTTGGATCTAAGGTAATTGTATTTTTGACAAGTTCCCAGGTCAGGCTGGTAGGGAATGGAGGATGAATTAGAGTAGGGTGAGATTATAGCATGAAGATCAGCTAAGAGCCTATCACGGTAATCCAGGCAAGAGATAGTATCTGAACTACTAACAATTTCTGTTAATGACGAAAATAGATTCCAGTGAAATATAATGATATAAAATTGGCAGTAAGCTTTTGAGTTAGAAGCAGTTGAAGCTTAGCTGTCTAGGAAGGTAGTGATGATATGAACTGAAATATGTGATAAAAAAAAAAGAATAAGATGGTAGCTTCAAATGTGACTGCTCAGAGATCAGTTTCCTGGAGTAGAGAAATGGATAGCCAGAGGCAGATTCATTGAATTTAAGAGCCTATGAAGCATCTAAAATTCTAACAGTGGGTGGAAGAAGAACCACAGAGAACAAATAAGTGTTAGAAATTGGTTGAAAACAGGAAGAACAAAATGAAAGCCATTTCTGGGCAGGATGGGGATAGCTTAGTGGTAGAACATTTATCTACCATGAGTGAGACCCTGGGTTTGATCCCTAGAACATAGGGGTGGTGGAAGACATTTCCAGGAGATGAAGGTCATGGCCAAGATTCTCTATATTCTGTATTCTGGACATGATGTCACAGTCTTATAATCCCAGCTACTGGGGAGGCAAGCGTGGGCAACTTAGCAAGGCCCTGTCTTAGAATAAAAAAATAGATAAAAAGAGCTGTGGGTATAGCTCAGTGCTAGAGTACTCTTAGGTTCAGTCCCTAGTACTAAATATAAACTATAATAAAAAAATTATGGTTAAATGCTAACTTTCAAGATAGTGGTTGCTAAAGGGAAATTCTAAAGACTTCAATTTATTTTCCAGTCTTTTCATGTAAGATTAAAAACCAAATCTTTTTTACTCATTATAGTAAGCTGATGGTGCCTTTCCCATTCAGTTTTTTTTTCTTCTTTTTTCTCTCACAGGTTGATCATTCATAGAAGAGCTGCTATAACAACATAGAGAAGGTGAAAACTTAACATAAAAGTTTTGCCATGCACTGAAAGAAAAGCGTTGTCTGTGAAGTTCTACTTTTAAAAATGTCTGCTTGTAATACCTTTACTGAACACGTTTGGAAACCGGGTGAATGCAAGAACTGCTTTAAGCCCAAAAGCTTACACCAGCTCCCCCCAGACTCTGAGAAGGCACCCACCACCCATGGCAATGTGAAAACAAATGCCAATCACAGTAACAACCACCGCATCAGGAACACCGGAAATTTCCGGCCTCCTGTGGCCAAAAAACCTACAATAGCTGTGAAGCCCACTATGATGGTGGCAGATGGGCAAAGTGTATGTGGTGAGCTTAGTATCCAAGAACACTGTGAAAACAAGCCTGTCGTCATGGGATGGAACCGAAACAGGACTGCCTTGAGTCAGAAACCACTTAATAATAATAATGAAAATGATATTGAAGGATTTAGCCATGTTCCTAAGCCTTATGACAATAATGATAGTGCAAAGAAGGTATCAAATAATAATAATGGACTAACTGAAGTGTTAAAGGAGATAGTGGGCCTAGATACCACTCCTCAGGTAGGAGGAAATGAAACAAACTCCAGAGAAACCTTTTTAGGAAGAATAAATGATTGCTACAAACGTTCACTGGAAAGAAAGCTCCCCCCAAGCTGTATGATGGGTGGAATAAAGGACTCTCAGGGCAAGCATGTCATTCTGAGTGGGAGCACAGAAGTCATTAGCAATGAAGGAGGCCGCTTCTGCTATCCAGAGTTCTCTAGTGGTGAGGAGAGTGAGGAAGATACTCTTTTCAGCAACATGGAGGGGGAGCATGAGAGCTGGGATGAGAGTGATGAGGAGTTGCTGGCCATGGAGATCCGCATGAGAGGGCAGCCTCGCTTTGCTAACTTCAGGGCAAATACTTTGTCTCCTGTGCGATTCTTTGTGGACAAAAAATGGAATACCATCCCCCTCCGAAATAAGTCACTGCAGAGAATTTGTGCTGTGGACTATGATGACAGCTATGATGAGATTCTGAATGGATACAATGAAAATTCTGCAGTCTCCTGTGGACAAGGAAGCACTCAGAGTATGGTGTCCTCAGATTCCACATCACCTGATTCTTCTTTAACAGAAGAATCACATTCTGAGACAGCCAGTAGTTTATCCCAGAAAATTTGTAATACAGGGATGTCTCCTGGTAACCCTAGAGAGTCTAAGGACACAAAAGAAAATTATGAAAATTTCTCTGGTAATAATCAGAAGGACTTGCCACAAGCCTCCAAAAGTTCTGTAAAAGTGCCAGAGACACACAAAGCAGTTCTTGCTCTTCGATTAGAAGAGAAGGATGGCAAGATTGCTGTACAAACTGAAAAACAAGAAAATAAAGCCTCTACAGATATTGCTGGGCAAGCAGTTACCATAAACCTTGTCCCTGTAGAAGAACAAGCAAAGCCCTACCGCGTTGTAAATCTGGAACAGCCATTGTGCAAGCCATATACTGTTGTGGACGTGTCAGCAGCTATGGCCAGTGAGCACCTCGAAGGTGCTGTCAGTAGCCCGAAGATCAAAAGCTCATCCTCTACTCCGAACTCACCAGTAACATCGCCTGCATTGACACCAGGACAAATAAGCGCCCATGTCCCCAAATCTAGTGCAATCCGATACCAGGAAGTGTGGACTTCCAGCACCAGTCCACGACAAAAGATCCCTAAAGTGGAATTAATTACTGGTGGAAGTGGGCCCAATGTTCCTCCAAGGAAAAACTGTCACAAATCAGCACCTACTTCACCCACAGCTACCAATATTTCCTCCAAAACTATCCCCGTTAAGTCACCTAATTTGTCTGAAATAAAATTTAACAGTTACAACAATGCTGGTATGCCACCTTTTCCAATTATCATTCATGATGAGCCAACTTATGCTCGGAGTTCCAAAAATGCTATCAAAGTTCCCATTGTTATTAATCCGAATGCCTATGACAATCTAGCCATCTATAAAAGTTTTCTGGGAACAAGTGGAGAACTCTCAGTGAAGGAAAAAACCACAAGTGTAATAAGCCATACTTATGAAGAAATAGAATCTGAAAGCCAAGTGTCTGATACCACCACTAGCAAACCCACAGAAAGTCCCCAGGCTAAAGGGTTTTCAAACAGTGCAGAGCGCAAAAGGGGCTCAGTGGCTCAGAAGGTTCAGGAGTTTAACAGCTGTCTCAACAGAGGTCAGGCTTCCCCACAGAGAAACTACAGTTCCAGCCACAGCTCCCCAGCCAAAATTCAGAGAACCACTCAAGAGCCTGCATCCAAAACAGAAGGTACACAGGAGTCTCAAATGCCAGGCAGCACTGGCAACACCAGGGAGAAGGCAAGCACTGTGCTCTCGCAGATTGTAGCTTCGATCCAGCCCCCCCAATCTCCTCCAGAAACACCTCAATCTGGCCCAAAGTCTTGCAGTGTGGAAGAGCTTTATGCCGTTCCTCCCGATGCGAATGATGTGAAGAACATTCCTAAGAGCACAGCCGTCCGGCCGAAGTCTCTCTTTACATCTCAGCCTGGAGGTGAGGCTGAAGCACCTCAGACCACAGAAAGTCCTGGCACCAAAGTGCAAAAAGACCTATTTGCAAAGCCTGTTACCTCTCCTCCATCCAAATTAGTAACCAGCCCCCAAAGTGAGCCGCCACCTCCCTTCCCCCCACCACGGTCCACTTCCTCCCCTTACCATGCAAGTAACCTTCTGCAGAGGCATTTCACCAACTGGACGAAGACAACTAGCCCCACCAGATCCACAGAAGCTGAATCTGTTTTGCACTCTGAAGGCAGCAGGCGGGCAGCTGAGGCAAAGCCTAAACGCTGGATATCATTTAAAAGCTTCTTCCGCCGTCGGAAAACAGATGAGGAAGATGACAAAGAGAAAGAGCGAGAGAAGGGAAAGCTGGTGGGCCTGGATGGCACGGTCATCCATATGCTGCCTCCCCCTCCAGTTCAGCGCCATCATTGGTTTACAGAGGCCAAAGGAGAGTCTAGTGAGAAGCCATCGATTGTCTTCATGTACAGGTGTGACCCTGCCCAAGGCCAGCTCAGTGTGGAACAGAGCAAGGTCAGGGCAGAGCAAACAGCAGGCACAGAAAAGGATAGAGCAGAGGATGTGTCACTGCCGGACTCAGAGAAGAAAAACGCTTATTCTTCTCCATCACAGATTCCTGAAAAAGTTCCCAGGTATGTAAAATAGACTGACAGAATATGGGGAATCTTTAAACACATTTTCATGTGTAAGTTTTTTTATATCTTTTAAAATTGCACAAGAACCATTTCTGTTTACATAAGTAGCACTCTGTGCCCATCATCCATCTTTATAACTGTATTCCAAGATTGGAATATTATTAAAGTGATCTTATTGCACTGAACAAGGTTTATGGCCCTGACTCTGTAGCTAAAGCAGCCTGCTGCATTCCAGCAAATGCAGAGGACTTTAACATAGAAAAGCAAATCCATAGCACTGTAATAGCAATAAATAATATGTTGTTCTGAAATGTTGTGATGGTGTGAGGAATAAACAGAATCAAATGAATGCTTTTTCCCTCACTATAAATGAAGTAAAACTCTTCCAGCAGTTACTTTTTGGCTTTTACCAACGTGTTATCTCCTTATGCATTACTTTAAGGGACTATTTGGTTTTTACAGCTGTCTCTTTCTGTTTTCCCTTTAAGTGTTGTGCGGAGCAGGGGCACACAATCTAAATATACTTACCATGCAGGAGATAGAGAAGTTGGTTCTTCAGAGTGAGACTGGTATAGCCCTCATTTGCCTAAGGAAGACTGTATTACACATGAGCTCTAAGGCATTAGTTTTCTTTAATACCTTAATAATTTTTTATTTATCACCTACTCTATGCATGGCACATTCCAGATACTTTTCTCAGGTCTTTCTGCAGTCCCATAATATTTGCTGTATTTTTTAGAAAAAGAAACTAAAAATCAGGACAGTTAAGAATTGGCCAGAATTACATAGTTAGTATATGGGAGGTTTATTTTTTGGTTTTGGTGCTGAGGACTTCCAGCTTGCTAGGCAAGCATTCTATCACTGAGTCAAATCTCCAGTCCTCCAGAGTTAGTATATCAGAACTGGAATTGATATCCTGATACATTTTACTCTAAAATGTTTTCTTCCTAAAATGTTTCATTATTAATAAATACAAGATCAAACAAAGGACTGGGGATATAGGACAGTAGTAAAGTACTTGTCTGGCATGCATGAGCCCGTGGATTTGAACCCCAGCACTGCAAAAGAAAAACAAATTAAAAAGTAAATTTAAAATATTTTAATTTACTATGTCACTCACATCAACAATTAGTTTCAGAAGCCTGTTTTTCTTTTTTATTTGTATTATAAGCAAAATTAATTAACTTCATTAAAAACATTTACCTCAAGTTCTCTTTCTCTTTCTCCCTCTTCTCCTTCTTTCTTTGGTACAGGGTCTCACTACGCAACTCAGACCCATAGTGATCCTCCCATTTTCAGCCTCTCCAGCACTGAGATTATAGGCATGCGCCATCATGCCTGGGCTCGGTGGCCAGCTCAGCGTGCCTAGGGCAGGGCTTGCATGGCATGTGGTGCTGGGGATTGAACCCTAGCTCCTGCACTTTCTTAAGCAAGTGCTTAGTCCATTAACCTATCTAGGCTGCTCTTACTCGTTTTATTTTTAAACAATGACATACCCTAAATATTTCATATTTTGATTCTGAGTTTTCCCTCCAAACCTTAGGAAACATTCTCTAGCTGGCCTGCTTTTTTTATGGCAAAGACAACCTCTAATTGATGGGGTAGATTCTTACCAGTTTTTCTTCACAAAAGTATAAATAAAAATGAGATGAACTCTTTTTTTTTTTTGGTGGAACTAGGGATTGAACTCAGGCCCTTGTGCTTGCCAGGGAAGCACTTATTCCACTGAGCCATCTCCCCAACCCCAAGATGAATCCTTAATGCCTTCACTTTTCTAGCAATATTTCAGGAAGTTTTACATATATTATTTACTGAAATAAGCTCTTTACATACCTCCAAATATGTCAAAATGTCAACAAGTTCCTGTTTTCCTTATATGCATGTAAAAAAGCAACTAGAATAGTGGTAATATATTGCTGGGAAGAATAATCTTGTCATGATAGTTGAGTATTTTCCATTTTTACATGTTCAGTAATAGAATGATATCCTCCTATAGTAATAAATGCATATATTGTCAGCTATTTTTTTTTCCATTTAGAAAGTGGTGATTTAAACTGCATAAATAGTTGGAATAACCTGAGAGGGGTAGCAGACATTCGCTGCAGATTGATAAATGGCTTTACACCTAATTGAGTATGGCTGTGGTGAATTAGGCATACCCTAAAAGGCAGAGCTCAGCAGTGATTTGGCCTTTCTTCTGTGAAATGTGGCTCTCCTTTCACTGCATGCCCACTGTATGTGGGCTCTGGGGCATCCCAGGCCCTGAGCATGGCATACTACTGACTACCCAGCTTACATTTCACAGATTTCATTCTGCAATGGGCCAGTAATATCTTCAAAAATATATCAGTTTTTATAAGTAACTTTCCAACAGGTTCCAGATGAGACTGATGCTGCTGATCTTGGGGCCACGTTTTAGGACCACTTGTCTCACCATCATTCTAAAGATCTGTGCTGTAGTATTTATGAAAAGCCATGATGAAACTGTTCCTAGGGGTATATTGATATTTTCTCCTTTCATAATGACCCAGACTAAGTAGGAAAGAATTATTCTTTTTTTTTGAAAAGAATTATTCTTACATTGTTTAACATTATGAATAGTTTAAAACATGAATATGCATATTGAAAAAAATACATGATTTGCTGTTTAAATAATTACTTCATTTACTTGGATATGCCACTGGTATTTACTTGAAGCAACTTGACAGGAAAAACGCTATAATCAAATGTCAACATTTGTGTTTCTGGCTTGATGGCAGTGTGATGATTAAATTACCATCACACAGCTAGGAACATACTGCTTGAAGAAATGAAAATACAAGGTTTCTGAAAAAAAATATATATATATATATGAAGTTTCCTAACCTAAACTGTCTATAAGGGATGAGGAATGAAAAAATGCTGAAGGCCAGACCCCAGGCTCTGAGACATATGAGACTTTATAAAGCCATTCTTTATGTACCATGAGTCATTTATGTGACTCTTCTGGAGACATAAATTAAGTATGCACCATTAGGACATGGAACAATAGAGGCAAGGACATTGCCAAAATAATGGACTTGGGTTCAACTCAGCTTTGACTCTGTCTGGTCCTTCAATATACTGGGCTAAGTGATACTACTCACAGAATTAACTAGATGATTTAATGAAAAAATGTGCAGTGGGCTTAACACACATGTTGAGTCTGACACATGTCAGTGCCTTGAGATGTAATAAATGCTGAAGATACAGCAATAAGGATGGAAACAGGACAGGAGCAAGACGTGGCTGGAAAAGGATAATAAATAGCTGCAGAGTTCTAAAATGAGTTCATAGAGTAGACAGTAGTTACAAAAGGTTGGGGTGCTGAAGGATGTGCAAAATAAGATGTTGTCAGAGAATACAAAGTTAGACTGGATCCACTGCACAGCATGGTGGCCACAGTTGATGCATTGTATATTTCCAGACCACTAAAAGAATAGAAGATCATCACAGAAGAAGGATAAGCAGATGAGGTGATGGATGTGTTAATTTTCTTTATTCCTTCTGCAGCTAATACATTTGTTAATATGTGTATTCAATATCACATTATACTCATAAATATATAGCTATTTTACATTTAGAAAACTAAAAACAAAAAGCAATCAGGATACTGTGGTTCGATCCCCAGATCCTCAACCCTTACCAGACCTGCCCTGAAGGCATCCTGAGCCAGCCCCCCACCAAAAAAAAAAAAAAACCAAACTTCTAAAAAACTAAAAACAAACACAGGGTCCTGAGTTCATTCTCCGGTACCTCTAAATAAATAGATAGATAGATAGATAGATAGATAGATAGATAGATAGATACCTAAAAACAAAAAGCCTGGTAGTATGGTCTCTGTGAGGTCAAACAGTGACCATGCAAATTTAATACTGCTACAGTTTGAGTCTCAAATGTCACCCAAAGGCCCAAGGCCAAAGGCTTGCTCACCAGCCTAGAGTGCTCCTGGGAGGGCAGAGCCTTTGGGGAGTGGGGTGTGGTGGGGGAAATTGAGGTCATTGGCCCCAGCCCTATCTTCTTCTCTTTTTGCTTCCTCTGCCTACATGCCTGCTGTGACATGCAGCCTCACCATAGGCCCAAAGGCAGGGGTGTAAGCACCCGCGGACTGATGCTTTTGAAACCATGAGTCAAAAAACCTTACTTCCTTATAAGCTGACTATGCCAGGTACTTTGTCACAGTGATGGGAATCTGGCTAGCCAAAATACAAATACATTTGTCTTCACTGTGTTGACCTTTGTACTAATAGTGAAGAAATCATTGTGGGCTTAATTCCTTGCACCTTACATAAGCCAACGCCATGGTACCATGTTGTATAGGAGTTTAAAAGAAAAGTATCAGTTTTTCTAAGGATGCCCTTTATGAAGTAGTAAATTTTATTGAATCTCAATCCTTGAGTTATTGCTCTTTTTTTAAATTAGACATGATGAAATGGGAACTACATGTAGAGTACTTTGGCTGCATACCAAGATATGATGTGTATACTAAAGAAAACACTTGTGAGATAGTTGTGAATTAGGAAGCCCACTTAGCCCTCTCTTTCATGGACATTTGAAGGCAGACAGACCAGTGACAGTTATTTAAACAAGCATTTGCCAGATATTTTCTCAACAGTGAACACAGTGTGCCTATTACTTTCAAGGAAAATAGCTTGACCGTGTTTGTGACCAGTTATAAAATTCAAGCTTTCAAACAAAAAATAAGAACTTTTAAAACTTACCTGATACTGACCTTGACAGCTCCCTAATACTTAAGACACTTTCCAGATGAGTTTGGTGATGGAATTAGCAACAAGATTTTTAATATCATATAATGAAACACTTGGAGGATCTGCATAACTCAGAGAATCAGTAATTTCCAAGTGACTGCCTGCATAGTAATACAAAATTATGCATTAGTAAAAGATCCACTCAAACTACAGTATAATCCAGTGCATTTTAATGTAACTGAGTACAAAAAGCCATTTGTATGGTTTCAG